AACTCCAGTATATTATGCTGGACCGGTATACTTTGTTGGCTCTAGTATAATATACTGGAGACTGGAGCACCGGTGCTCCAGTCTCCAGTATATTATACTAGAGCCAACAAAGTATACCGGTCCAGCATAATATGCTGGAGTTCATACACAGGTGCACCGAACTCCAGTATATTATGCTGGACCGGTATCTGTTACAGCAAAATAGTGGCTATTTTTTATTGACTTGGTAAACGCTGACTATTTTTGAATGATCAGTCCGAAAACTAGTTATATCGTGCTATTTTTACAATTTACTACTATAATAAAACCAGCATTCGACTATGTTAAACAATAATTCAAAATTGTAGGATAGTAATTGTCTAGGATTTGATATTTGTTAGTCTATATAATTTATGTCTACTTAGAATTTGTAGTCAAATTTCATACAGAAATAGACTTTGCAATTTTTTTTCAAAATAAGTCTTATACTTTTATAAATAGGTGTTGGAGTGTTGCTAGTTATTTTATGTGTAGAGAGCAGTGAAGAATTATAGTAAAATATTTCATTCAGACTATGCTGGCCGCCCTATCTAGTAGGAGGCTTAAAACTATGTTTGGCGTAATTAATAAGTAAAAGGCTTTTACATTTTGGTTTGGCTTGACTTAACGGAAGAAGAAGGGGCATTTGCATCTATACCTAGTTTTTGAGTCACCATTTAATTTATATCGCCTTTGCACAAAAAATTACAAATGTACTCACTTTTCGGGTAATTTAAGACATACGGGCTTGAAGTAGCAAAAATTTATATGTGAAGTTTGAACTTTAGAATTTTTTGCATGAAGTGTAGCCTTATCAAAGCAAAACTTCATATATTTTTTCCTGAAGTTTGGCCTAACTTAGAAAGGCAATCACGCAAACTTTAGTTCATAGTGCAAGGGAAAACTTAAGTTCAATTGTGTGTGTTTGAAGTTTGAACTTCAGAATTATTGGCTTGAAGTGCAGCCTTATCAAAGCAAAACTTCAGATATTTTTGCCTGAAGTTTGGCCTGACTTACAAAAGCAATCAGGAAAACTTCAGTTCAATCTGAAGTTTGAACTTGAGAATTCTTTTGCCTGAAGTGTGACCTTATTAAAGCAAAAGTTCAAAATATTTTCACCTGAAGTTTGGCCTAACTTGCAAAGGTAATCGGAAAAACTTCACTTCATAGTGCAAACATCAGACAAATTAGTCTGAAGTTCTTCAATTTGTAGTGCAAACTTCAGGACAAAATCAGCTTGTTATATTTGAACTTCATATAGTGCAAATTTCCATATCAGTGATGTTTTTGGAGATTTTGGCAGCAGTTGAAGAGCAATTCAGTGCATAATTTTCAATGATGAAATTGCACAACTGCAATCTTTACTTTTGGTTGGTCAAGGGAAAATGGTCAGCTCAAAATCACTGGCATCCTTTTACACTATTTATCTCAAAAGCACAACCTCTTTGAAAAGGGGGAAAAAGAACAATAGGTTTGGTCAGATCCTAAACTGAACTGCTCACAGCCTCATCAGAAAAGAAGAGGAGGAAGAAAGGAGCGCATAGGTCAGGAGAAACAAAAGGAGGCATCTGTAGTAGTCAAAATTAAGGTATAAGTTAAATAATTTTAAAAATATGGGTATAGGTTAAATATGGGCGACCAAATAAAGTGCCTCGTGCAATTTCTACGAAGAAGAAGAGGCAATATCTTAACTACTAGAATATAGGGGTGGCAAAATGGTTCAAAGAAAACAGTTACCCACCCATATTATCCATTAAAAATGAGTTGGATAATGAACTATTTAAAAACGGGTCAAATATGGATAAGAACCATATTATTCATTTAGAAAATAGATAACCAATGGTTTGGCTCTAACTTTTACATGTGTAAAGCCTCAAATTGGGAGTTCCTCAAGTTAGGGAGACTAAGAATTCTCCCAAAAGTGATCATATGTAAGAAGTCATGGATAATATGGTTACTCATATTATCCACCAGTTAACCCGTTTTTTATCTGTATTAAATATGGGTCGGGTCGGATAATTTACCCATTTTTTTCATTACCCGTTTCAATCCGAACCATATCTGACCCGACCTGCTCGTTTGTCAATCCTACTAGAATATAATTCTAGAATGAATTGATATTACTATGCTAAACCTACTCCATTAATTGCTTAGCATAATGTCACGTCCTTAGTCTTAAACTAAGCGCACGTGAGGCACTTGGCAACTCGCTCACGATCTTGCACAGCTTGCTCACGTTCATGCTATGTTAAGTCAGCCTTACTACACTCAAGATCGCTAAGAGAATGTTAGAACACAAGAGAATTGCCAAAGGAAGCTTTTGTATTAGAGAGAACTTGATAGTTTAGCTTGGTTCATGAATTACAAATGAATGCCCCCTATTTATACTAATCACCTAAGGGCTAGTATGTAAATAATAATTGTTCTACAAGTCCTTCTGTATTTACAAATAAGTCTTTCTCTAGAATATTCTACATAGCTAGAATCTTCTAAGGACTTTCCAAATAATTCTATAGGGTTCTAGGGTCTTCCTAAGGAAACCTCTATATTTCTTTAGAACCTTCCTACAAGTGCATAAATATCTAGAACATTTCCAAGGAAATTCTCCATAGTTCTAGAATATTCCACCAAGATCTAGTCTCTAACTTATGTAACCATTTCATATGACAAAAATATATGCCAAGTGGCACCTACGTGGAATGATGATGTGGCGGGTCATAACACTTTCCCCCACCCAATTTTGTTCCACCCTCGGCACAAAACATCGACACATATGCGCGCACCTCGTCTTGGCGTCGCCAAAGATCTTTGTCCATTAGTCATGATGCCCTATGAAGCAGTTCTCCTTCCCATTTCACAAGGTACTGGGTACCTTTCTTGTCACGCCGTTTGTACTTTGGACGGCTAGCAATGATGGCCTCCATCCTCCGCCCATCGGATTCCCCTCCTTGCTCTTGACCTGAATCTTCTCATGATTCAACCAAGTCTAGCAGCTTCTCAAGCATCGAGTCCATGCTTCCATTCCCTATTTGGCTGCCCTCCGTGGTCCAGCCTTACTGGAAAACTTGAACCCTCTGCTTGGTGCATCGTCTGAGTTCGATAGTATGCCATCACTTTGTAACTCTCCGTCCTTTTCAACTATGTCCGTCCAACATTTCTTGCTGCCACCATGCTCCATTTGCATGGTGCCAAGATAGGCTTTGGAATCCCCTACTTTCGGCTTAGATTCCAAGCGCATGTGTCATCCTTATGTGCTTGAGCAAAGTTCCCTATCATTTCTGCAAGTTTCCCCAACTATGAGCATTCACTTGCCCAGTGTGATCCTTCACAGAAGTAGCACCCTCCCTTAGGCACGTACTCCCTACCATTTTCTGGCCCCTTGTCGTTTCTCTTGGACCCCTGTCCGTTATGGGATGGCCCCTTGCCATTACCCTTGTATAGCTCGGTTATGCATTTCCCGTTGTCCTCATCATGATCTCCCTCATCCCTCTCGGCGTTGCCTTCTTTGGACTTGGCAAGCTCCATCTTGAAGTCAACAAGTGACTAGGCTACTCCGATGGCCCCGTTCACGTTGACTATTTGATGTCTTCTTAACTTATGTTTTTCCCAATTTTGCAACCCATCCATGAAGTAGAAGAGGAAATCTTCCTCGGACAATGACGAGATTTGCAGCATTAAGGTAGTGAACTCGCGTACATACTCCCTAATTGTGACCTCTGTCGGAGCTCCCTTAGCTTCCGCCAGTCTGTCACCTCGTGTGCAGCCCGTGCACCACCATACTGCTTTCACTTAGGGATCTTCGCGTTGATCCCTTCTGCAAGTACCAAGCCCTTGGTAATTCCGGCCATGGTTCCCTACAAAACTTCCTTCTAGCAATCTCTTGTATTCTTTCTAACATTCCTTAGTCATAACCTTTGCTCTGATACCACATTATCACGTCCTTAGTCTTAAATTAAGCGCACGTGCAGCACTTGGCAACTCGCTCACGATCTTGCACAGCTTGCTCACGTTCTTGCTATGCCAAGTCAACCTTACTACACTCAAGATCGCTAAGAGAATGTTAGAACACAAGAGAATTGTCAAAGGAAGCTTTTGTATTAGAGAGAACTTGATAGTTTAGCTTGGTTCATGAATTACAAATGAATGCCCACTATTTATACTAATTACCTAGGGGCTAGTATGTAAATAATAATTGTTCTACAAGTCCTTCCGTATTTACAAATAAGTCCTTCTCTAGAATATTCTACATAGCTAGAATCTTCTAAGGACTTTCCTAACAATTCTACCGGGTTCTAGACTTAAGGAAACCTCTATATTTCTCTAGAACCTTCCTACAAGTGCATAAATATCTAGAACATTTTCAAGGAAATTCTCCATAGTTCTAGAATATTCCACCAAGATCTAGTCCCTAACTTAAGATCTAGTCCATATGGCAAAAATATATGTCAAGTGACACCTACGTGGCATGATGATGTGGCGGATCATGACATTAAGGTGGGTTGGTTTGCTTCAAAAATTTTAAAAGACTTGTTTTGGGAAGAAAAAATTCAATACGACTTTCAAAGTTTTTCAGTTTTTGCAAGGACTCAACAACTCTTCTTAGTGTTTGATTAATAAGAACAGTTTCTCTGAATAAATTAAAACGAATTTAGATTGAAACTTTCTTCAATATTTTGAAACTATATTTTAATGGACATATGGTTTCTGTAAAAATTAATGAGACAGAGACTACATATTGTCTATTGACAAGGCATGACGTTTTTCTTTTCTTTTACTAAAATGGTGTATGGATTAATTTGTGCATAGTTCACCGAATACCCCTATTATTTAATTACTCTTCACCAACACATATAATAATCCTATCAGGAGAACAATTTTTTTCACTTGTCATATGTTTTTCTAAAGCCACCTATTCAAGTGGAACCAAGACAAAAGCAGATGAAAAGGAAATGAACTTTTGCCGACATATATCTATAAAAAAATAAAATAATGAAATAGCGTCTAAAACAATTCAGCACTATTTAATTAAAAGTAGGTATAATTACAAAGAAAACTTCAAAGTATCATATAGATCAAACGTCCACCTACGAACTATATACTAAAATTATATAAATATAATACTATTAAAGAAAAGAATGTCCATCCCTGGGCCCCTTTATCCAATAACGAGGACCATTTGCAGGCAACTTTTCTCAACAAATCCTCATCATTAGTTGAGATTTTTCCTCAAAAGCACGGACCAAATCAATATCCTGTCGGAAACTTGCAACTGCCATATTCTGCAATAGGAAGAAATTCAATCTTTGGTTAATGCCAAAAAACAGTTTAATTTCTGCAACAAATATGAAAATAAGACCCTTCTTTTTGTTAAAATACTTGTAATTTTTATGAAATTGTTAAAGCTATTCTAATAAATAAATATGAAGAACGTTGCTTTGTCATCCCTAAAACATACAACGAAGTGGTAGAATGCCTACAAGTTAAACTATTGAGTCACGAGCTCGAATTCCAACAATGTCAAGACTACTTTTGTCTATTAAATTTTGCCTACTCTCATGCAATATGTTAAGAAAAGAATTTATCGAATCAAAATGGACAAGTAGTCAATAGTTTTTTAAGAAAATAATAATTATAATATCGTAAATGTATTCAACAAGAGTTTGATTTATGTAATGATTATAAAACCAATGGATAAAAGGATTGATAAATAAATCAATGAATAGATCGTCTACCTAACGGATAGTAACGGGTAGATCATCTAGCAATTTTCTAAACAATATAAACTAAATAAGAAAAGACCTTCTATTTATTCCATAACTACCCTTCTGCCTTCTAAATATATACATTAAAATATGATGATGCCGCTGTATGTATTTTTGTACGTACTAGGTGTAAGATAAGTTAAAAAATCCTCACTAGGAGATTCAGTCACGACATAAAATGAGAAAATACCTTCTTATATGTATTCTATAATTATCCCTTTTAATTAAATATCATAATATAATGGACTTATTGAATCGTATTTTTGTAATAGTTGAAAGAGAAGCAAGGGATAGTTGAAAGAGAAGCAAATGGAATACTCACTGGGATGTTGAGTGACAACGTAGGCTGCTCCGTTGAAGTCGCACGTTCCAACCCCACGTGTATTCTTCTGATAATAGCTATTGAACGCATAAGAAGCGTGAGCCTCCAGCGTATCCGGATCGTAACACGTGGCACCCTGCTGAATCGGACGGCAATCAGCCCCACCTTCACCACAAGCATAATCCAACGCTGCCTGCAACTTCTCACGT